AAATTTACCTCCGTTTACTTCTTACGTCTCATTTATCTTTCAAGGACTTGCGAACAAAATTATAAGACGTTGCCTTTATTTTGGTCAATATGCTCCCTAATGTCTCTAATTGTAGGTATGAGATGACGATGATCACAAGATTTTACGATTTGAAAAATTTGAAAATTTGAGACGTTTAATTGAGAATGTAGCGCTTTATAACGAATTTATTAGCAAAGTTACATTTATTTGACGATGTAAACGAGTGCGATCGTTGCGCGGACAGTTCGAATCGGGGAGAAAAAGGTGTCTGGGGGCTATTTTGATGCTCGCTATACTTCGTCGATATTGTTTGTATAACGACGAACGTATCGTATTAATAACCGTCGAGTTGTGCACAATGGTTGTAAGTGTGCATCGCGGCAGCTGTATCAAGGGCACGATCTCTCGGCATTGTCGGCACGCTGTTGGCTGGCAATGTACGAGGGCGAGGCGAGCGACGTCGGAATATAAAGTCGGATATAAAATCATTGTTTTCGCCCGATAAACGACTCGATGCCTCGTCCAAATTGTTGTTGGCCGGCGCGGAAGTGTCACAACGTAATCGCCAATAAATCCACCTTACCACGACACCGGCAAGAAAGCCGTGATTTTATTTAGAGACCGCTCTCTGTTGTCTTTACGCAACAACTTTGTCAGTCAAGCGCGCAATATTGTTTGTAATATCGAAGAGAAACAGCGAGACCGTTGATCATATATACAATTTTTATTACTTAGCGTAACATAACATTCATTTTCTAATTAGAATAATGGAGGAAATGTGACTTTTGTAGATTTAATAGCTTTATGAGGAACATTTCTCCCCCACGTATTTGTTGATGCATCGCCTGTACCATTGCCATTTCGTCTCAAATGAGAAAGGGTGGGCGCAAACACAAATGCGTCACATTAAGGTGATGAATCGTACCAACGACGGCTGTACGCACCCGGTAGCGTCTGCCAAGCGAGAGAGAGAGGATCAGATGAGAAGAACGGGGAGCCTGAAGGCACATTGGTAAATTCTCCACTGCCGCATTTGGCCGTCGCGGATAATAACGCGACGTAATACACGCCGAAGGGACGCCGAAATCGCATCGTGAAATCGCGCCCAACTGTCCGCACAACGATCCACCTCTATTAATAGCTCGTATTAATAGTGACGGTCGCTCTATAGATAGCGTGCAGAAGTAGATGCCTCGTGTCGCGTCCCTGTAAGCTGCTTACGGGCGCGCATCATTAGCGTACCTCGCGGGCACAAATAATCGCGCGATATAACGAGATCACGGTAATAACGATCTCATTCGTCGCTAAATTTGACGTGGTAATTTAATCGGGATATCACACGGTCCACCGCGGCGATGCTAAGATCACGGACTTTGTTTCGTGAGAATTATTATACAACCGGACCGTTCTTCTCTCGCGAAAGAAACTGGGCGGGTCGCTGAAATGTCAAAATTAATATGCTTTTCGAGTCTCGTGCGAGATTGCGTGCGTCTTTCGAGCGACGTCGCGTAAAACGCGATGTCAACAACCGCGCACGTATCCGAGAGATCTATACGTTGATAAATTCCAACCGCGTTTTGACAATCGCTGATTTATACCAGCTAGACGCGGTCGGGGACCTGTTGCTGCTGTAACAACGCTGCATGCACGCGGCCGCATCTGCCCTTCTCTGTACGCGGCCGACGACGGATTTATGGTGACACACGTTCGACAACTCGAGGGCGTACGTCAGCCACCGGCATGTGTAAGCAACGGTGCACGGTATAGATGCCATGGATCGCCGGGTCGAGGGGATGACGAAAGGATCGCCTCTCGTCCAAAGGAGGGATATTTCCACTTTGGAACTCGGCCAATGGCCGTGTGCTTTGAAATCTTATGTATTGATCTTGCTTAATCTCGCCCACATGTCCTACCGTCGCTCTAATTTATCCACGGCGATTATTTCGCGCGATGCTGCGCCGGGCGTTTCGAAAATCCCTTAAGATAAGAACGAAGCCGGTGTATTTCTAATTAAACTTGGGGATATCACGAAACTAAAGATCGTCGTATAATACAATAATTCAAGGTACTCTTCGAAATGAAATTAAATGGACCACTTCGACGATGAAAATGGTGAAATACATATTTATGTAACTTTGCGGAAAATAATAGAGTTAAAAATAATGTTTATTTTTTTTAAATAATAATTTGAAAAAAGGAACAGTGGTATAGGGTAAAGTGCATAAAGCCTGAAGATTCTACTTTCAAAACTCCGTCGAGCTTTTCCCTTGGCGACGCTTTTGCTCCGAGCAGCTTCATTCTCGAGTAGATCGTGCAGAATTGAGAAACTTCAACTTTGAGATCGTGCACCGAGTTGATGAAAGATCGTTTTCGTCTTAGTTCGAGACAGCCTGGAAGTCTTGAAATCTTGCTTTTAATTTTTTATAAATCGAGTTGCGATTTTTTCTTCATCAAGTTATCACGATTTGAAAGGATCTCACGTTTGATTTTTAATTCATTTCTATTATTACTGCCGCCATTATTTCTCTGCAAAAGTCCTTTCTCATTTTAGTACATATACTACAAAAATATATTTCCACTTGACACAAATATGGCATAAAGAAAATAATGGCGTGATAAATATGCTGGTAGTATATATATGTATATTAATGGCAATAACTTTGTGCAATCATCAAATCGTGCAATTTCGTTTCTGGCGAAAATTATTGGGTACGTGATTTGGGTTCGACTGCTGTTGATCCGAGAACAATGTTATGTGACGAAACATTGTAATCGATTTACGCCCCAGAGACTAATCCAGTCTTGAGATTCCCATAATATTTCAATGAATATTCATTGAAGTGTCTCTGATACGATAGTCTATTTGTTCGCCTGATAAATGCTGCAGATACCAAAGTTCGTGGGCAACATATATCTGCACAGTTCGGGCAAATTATCAATCTTCTCAATCTTTTAATACAATCATTATATTTTAGGAGATACGCTTAAGGAAATTGATATAAAATTTGTTATACGTTACAAGAGCGTCATTTTTAAAGATTCCAACAATTGAGAAATGAATTCCGTTGCTATTAGTTTTTATCAGTTTGCAAAAAAAATTTCGTGTCTGTTAAATAAAATTGGAAACAACATTTTTGCTGCGAGCTTCAATATATCCTCTTCTTTATCTGGAAAGAAATTTTTTTTTTCGGAATCTTCTAATTTCATTTAACGCGACGGGACAAAACGACAAAACTTTTTGCATCGACGTAATAAAATGCATAAAGCAAATTATTTTCTGAAAGCGGCAGGGAACTTAACAATTTTTTCAAAGAACACCGCCCGTTACTAACTCTTTCCAACTTCGATGCTGTTTTCGTTACTCTGTTACGCTTTATCACAGTTGAATTGAGTCCTGCATAAAACACCAGTACGGAACGTTGATAAAGCATTAATAGACCGCGGCAAGGCATACCTATAATAGAAACAGACCCCACTGAGATACGTTTATTGTCAAAGCGAATTTCTACGACAAGACGCAGTTCGGTACACAGCAACAGGTTGAAACTTTGTTCGTGGCTTCGTTCGGGTGACTCGGCAAAAAGAAACAATCGAGGTGAATCGATCCGCTTTAGCCATCGAAGATCGCTTATTTGCTCCCAGTTAATGAAATCAAGAAATTTTCAATTGTCTATATACTTAACAATTTTTTCCTTCGACGTGAAATATGACATTAAATATTTATGAATATTCACGACTAACAGGTCATCTTTGAATTTTCGTTCAATCTTGATAATTAATTGCGTTTAGAGAGAAAATACAATTGAAGTAATTTCTCATTCATTGTTTGATTATTTTAATTATTGATTGATATTAATTGTTTTAGAAATCTAAAAGAGGCTCGAAATCCACATAATCTCAAATGAAACATTCCTTGAAAGATGTAAATTGGGATCCACGTAGTCATTCGTCACAGCCGCCACTCGAGTGGCTGAGTATAGAGACGAATTGTCGTGATTAAATTAATTTCCATCTAAAAATATTTGTGCTCGCGCACCTTTGGCAAAATCACCGAGCCGATTTTAACCCGATTCCCAGCCTGAATTCTTCTTCTGGTAATAATTAGACGTGGTACCGCTTCTAATTGGCAGCCTCTAATTGGAGCCAAGTTTTCCCAAGAATGCGTTCGATGTTCGTTTGAAGTTTTCAACCGGAATTAATTATCTGCACATCGAATGCGATGTAAACGATAAGATAACACAAAAGTTTTCGCGAACATATATGTTATAGGCATAAAATGAAAGAATTCAAGTATTTCGAATCGATGATCCACGATCGATGATTTTCTTCAAACTTTATCGCATTTTATTTTTATTTGTCTTAGTTTCTCGTTGTTGTCCAATTTAAATTACGAGAACGAGATAAGAGATGCGAGATCCAAGGCATATGCACATTTTTTTGGTAGTTTCTATCTGTCGCAATACTCGACGATTTCTCGAGTCCCCATTGAGGGCCCTCCTTGGGAGTCCTTTGGTCGCAACTGAGACGTAATACGAAGGTCGAGTGACGCTCAAGACTGCGTAGGTCGGAGACTAATTGCCAACTAATTTGTTCTCATCCCGAACGGGAGAAAAGATTTCTCCTAGGCCACGGGCACAACATCGTTCGCGTTTTTTCCAATAATTGCGGGAAGACAGCAAACCACAATCGGCTGAATTATTCATCCCGGCGGATCGATGGCGTCGAGAATAGAACTTTTTCGACTTATTTCCAAGCCGCGTTTAGCTCAGGATTTACAAAAATACAAATCTTATACAACGAGATTGCACAACGAGACATTTTGGGTACTTGGAACTAAGAAGTTGAAACTTAAGAAACGTGGGGCTTGTTTTACAAAGTTGAGGGATACTGTATTTCTAACGTGTTTAAATTTAACTCGGCAAGTTTTGCCGACGCCGCAGATATTTCGATGTCACCTAGGCTATGATAACGGATTGCAGGGCGGATTATTGGAAGTCCCAAGGCCGCAAGTTCTGCGACTTCTGCAAGTGCTGGATCGCCGATAATAAACCGAGTATCGACTTCCACGAGGGCGGCAAGAAGCACAAAGAAAATGTCAGCAAGCGGCTCAAGGAGATCCACAAGAATAGCGCCAAGGAAGCGAAGCAGAATAAAAAATTCGAGGATGACCTCAGGAAGATGGAAAACGTATGTATTTCTCACAGACAAATTGAAGTTGAAAACATGAAGAACACCAATGATAAAGAAACCCTTTCTTTCCTACAGGCGGCTATGGCTGCGTACTTGAAGGATGTTGAGAACAACACGCGAGATATGACTGCTGAGAAAATCATTAAAGAGAAACTGAACAGGGTAGAAACGAAGGAAGTGAGTACACTCAACTAAAAGAAATCTGTTAAATTTAATGCTTAATTTTAGATATTACGCCGAGCAGAGCATCTAATAATAGAGAATCTAATAACCAGATACAATATTTTCAAGAGTTGCGCAAAGATGGAACTATATTATTTTTACTATGTTAAAACAACGAAGCTTAATTTAAATTATTATATTTTTATTTTAATATATCAATACGTTTTTATTTTATATATATTTTATATACATTTATATTATTATATATGTATATGTGATGTAATATGTGTATTTCTAGACCCCTCAAAATTGCAATCGTATGCCACCAGCCGCTCCACAGACGGTACCAAGATTCAAAGGCAATAACCAACAGGTGCGTAGGTTCATCAATCGGTCTTTCTAATTATTTAATGATCGAAACAATACAAGCATCTCTCTCTTTATAAAATCCGAAGTAAAGGGTGGTTTGCTCGCGGTATCTTTGAACACCCTTGCCCGTTATTTTCTAAGAAAACTAGAACAACAATGCGAAGCGACATGCCAACTGAAACTTTTACAGTTCTTGCCGAAGGTGGATCCTTGTGATCCGGCAACTTTGTCAAAGGGCGCGCCGTCGTTTCCACGAGTCCAGCAGCACGGCGGCGAGAACAGGACTCCGGGGAAGAGTAAGGCGGGCAAGGCGAAGGGAAAAGGGAAAAAGACCCAGGAGGATGATCGTCCGACCGCACCCGTCAGGAAACTCTGGTACGAGGCTCGCAGTCCCGAAGGATACACTTACTATTGGCACATTGAAACAAATGGTACGTGTACCTTTGTCGAACTTTTTTATTCTTTGCTTTTCTGCTTTTTTCGATATCTTCTTTTGTCAGGCAGTATATTGGCATCCCGGTTTTCTCACCTAAATTTGCATGTTTTTCCAATTTATTATTTATAATTTATATAATTATATTTTATATTTTTTATTTTATATATATATAAACTATGTGTATCTCAAATATCATTTTATAAAAAATAAGATTTTTTAATTTCTATATGTCAATAAATTATGAATTTGTGATTGTGTTTCTTTTATATTTCTCATTAACGTGATATTAAATTCTTTCCAAATTCCTTGGTCTTTGTCTCGTTTCTCCTTAAAGTTGCAACGCTGCTTTATTATGTTATACATTATCAATCCTGTCTTATTGTTAACTATTATATAGAGCATTCCATAAATATTATTTGATACACATTAGAATCGGTTTGGGA